AAAGACTCGGCTCTTATGCAAGAATCCTCTGACAGTAACAGGACAGAGGAGTTAACGTGCTGCCTTTGTGACTGTCATCTTTAAAAGCTTACAAAGAAGCTTTGACACAGTCAAACTACTACTGTTTTTAAATCTTCACTAGGAAGCGCTTAAAATGTCTACTAATGAGCTGAGAACTCATTAAAGGGGTTCAATTAAAATATTCATTTACAAAATGACCAAGGAGATGGTTCTTTTACTTTCCTTATGCAGTGACTTTTGGAATGTACCTCAACAATCTTACTCCAGACTTTTATTGCTCTTAGAATGTTACTATCAGTTTTGATCAAGATGTTAAAAAAGTTACATATTGCGATACTCTGTACAATAGACTTGCCTCTTAAGCTGTTCAGTGAGAATTAACTTAACGTTCATGCTAAGACGATGAACAGGAAGTTCATTTCCCCAAAGAGCGCCCTGTCCCAGCACCATGAGAAACGGACTTTAAGAGTACAGTCAATTACTAGGAAGTATCACAGATGTTAAGACACGAAGAAACGCCTTCCTGAAAGGTTATTCATCAATGAAAGTACAGCCTGGACGCCTGTGGTGTTTTGTGAGAAATCTGCAGATGATGGAATTTAATTCAAGAGCATCATCTGCTGGGATGAGGGAAGCTCTTTCTGAAAGCACTTCTCCATTTAGGGAGACTGCATGCCCATCCACAGCGGGGAGCACTCACATCGTCGATTATACACGAAGTACTTTAATAACGTGGGTCAGGATTTTTCACACGACAATCTACTTTCTCATGTTAGGGGTCAAAATCTGACAGACCAAAACTAGCACAGGAAATACCACTTAAAACAGAAAATACCTGCTCGCGAGGAATTTACTTCGCCATACGTCACACTGTATTGACATCCGCTCTAGCTGTTCGGCAAGCTGAGCTGTGTTTCGCCCTAGAGCTTCATTTTCTAAAATAAGCTGATTTTTCTCGCGCGCTAGACGTTCAAAGTGATACTGAAGATCATCCCCAACAGAAGCCACCAGCAACTTTTTTAACTCACGATTGACCTAGAAGGCATATGATCAATGTAACAGGCTCAAAGTAGTGTCAGTGACTTTAATGTAGCAAAATGAACAAAAGGGAAATGTTTGTGTAATTTGTACCTCCATTACTTAAAGTGTAGATTAAAAAGTGATATTAAATACTTAAGTTTCATAATATATATACATATATACACAAACCATGTGGTTTATAACCCATGTGGTTATAAATTGAGCTTCTTCTAAAGAGTATAAATCATTATCGTAAAAATTACAAACTGTTTCCAGTCAACACTTAAAAACAAAAAAATAAATTTTGTTAAAAAATATGACAGACTGTTTTATGTGATTTCTAATATTATTCAACATTTAAAAATTAATTTTGTTGTGCCCTAGGAGTTTTACTTTTGAGAATTTAAGCAAAGGAAGGTATTCAGGGTATGGACAAGCACGTTCTGTACATTGTTACTGTAAATACAAAAAATTAAAATGTAAATGTCCAATAACAGGTGTTGGTACATGGTGCAGCCACTGAAGAACAGTTACTATAATAATGATATTGTAATAGAATATTCTGTGACATAAAACATTAATAACCAAAAAAGTGGGTTATAAAACAAAAATAGCACATATAATTATGCAGTTATATCTGCATGGTCTGATTATAGGTGGTACTATTTTGTTTTTCTGTATTTTCCAACATGTTCATAAATAAATATGACTTTTATAATTAGAAATTAGTCATTTAAACATGTATTACAATATATCTGAGTAAGCAACACTAACCATGGTGTCAGCACGACTAACATCTAGCAAAAGGATGTCCGTCTAATAGGAAAGGAAGTGGAGGGTGAGGCAGTGTTTATTAAGATGTAAAGGTTAAAGAACCACAGTTAAGCACGATACATAGTTTTCCATTTGTGATGATGAGACCACTACTTACCGCGCCATTCTCTTTATTCCAAGCATTAGGTACAGAGGTAAAAGGGCTTGGAATTTATGGATCCTTAAAACAGGGGTTGCTAATGAGTCAGTTTCAAAGGCTGACTCGGTCTGGAAGCTTATAACTGTAACCTCCTCACCACTAGGTGGTCTTGCCCAGAGCACCTCACGCGCCCATCTTCAACCTACCTGGTTTAGAGTATGAGTTCCCAACATGATCTAGTTCTACCAGAGGCCCTGAGAGAGTGTGAAATTTAAGAGGAAGCTTTCTAGAGAGATGACGGGCTATAGCGAATGGCAACTGCCTTCCCAAGAGGAAGTGCAGTTTCTGAACACGCGGGCTTAGAAAGGGCCAGGTGTGAAGAGCATCCGCATTGGGGCCCGCGAGGCGGTTCTCACCTCTGTCTGCACTCGGAGCTGGTTCGAAAGACCTTCTTTGTCCTGGAGTAACCTCCTTTCAGAGTTCTTGAGCTTTGCCAATACGTTCTTCACCTCTGAGAGCTCCTTCCGAGGCTCCACAGCTCCCTCTGCCTGACCAAGGAGCTCTCCTTTATGAAGCCCTAGAGACTGCACCTTTGCATTTCTGTTGGGGATGACGTGGGTTATGGCTGCTTTGGGCACTAATATTCTGACAGCTTCGACTTGCACTGCTTTTTCAGTGAGAATCTTCCCCAGCTGAAGGACTCCCGGGCTCTCCGCTCTCTTCCGCGGACTCTGAAGGGCGGGAAGCTTTGTGGGGTGGACTCCGGCGGTGATTGTGGGGTGGACTCCGGCGGTGATCTCGGCTTTAGGCGGCTCCTCTGTTTCCATTCCATCCCCCGCTCCTCGGACTGGGGCCGAAGCAGGGGCGACTGAAAAAGGGAGAACACAGCCTAACTACGTACTGAAAAGAAATGCCAGAAGGCCGACACCGCTTTACCCTACATTCCGAATTACTGGCACTCACAGGAATGGAAAAATTCAGAGTAAAAAGTAATTTTCAAAACAACCGTGTGTCCAAAAAAAGACAAACGAAGTCCCACAGGTTCAAGCTTCCCTTAAGTAAATGGTTTCTGTCTTGTTAGAAAATGCACAAGGTTTGGAATCAGAGTATCTGGTCCTGACTTCCGTCCACTTCCTGGCATGACCCGAGGTGAACGATTTAACCCTCTGGGAATCTCAGTTTCCTAATCTGCAAAACGGAGATGGTTACAACTGTGCCGCAGGGTTGTGGTAAGAAAATACAAAACGATCAAGCGCCTGGCACACTGTAGACCACGATGTTAGCTAAACGTAAGCATCAGCTAAATATACGCGTATTTGGAACCTGTTACCTAAAATAGACTCATCTGTTTTTGTGAACTCTTGGCAAAGAATGCTTTGCACAAACTACCCAACCCGACTATTCACCATTTTCTCTCCGAGGCCTCTAATCAGGCCCTTGTTCCTGCTATTTCTTGTTCTCTTAAATGGCTTCTTTCCCCCTCTCTTTTTTTTTTGCGCCACTCACTGTGATTCTAAGTTACCCTAAGGAGTCAGCTTCAGCTCCACTCTGTGTAGTAAATCTTCCCACCCTCTGACTGCCTGCAGCACACACTGCACTCACTAGCGTTCAGTTTGAAACTTAACCGTGAACCCTAGTGATCATTTTAAGGATTTTGCACATGCTAATTTCACTTTCCCAATAGGTCTTATAAGCACATTGAGGGCAAGTGGAAGGTACCTGGTGTTACAGAAATTAATGAACTTCAGGATTAGCCAGATCTGGGTTTGAAGTACCACCATTACTACCAGACAAACCTGGACAAAATCCTACAATTATCTTAGCTTCACTTTTAACTTCTATGAAATGAATTTAATAATATTGACATCTGGGTAGTATTAAACTTGAATATTAAATGAGAAAATATTAAGTAACAAATAACCAACACTTACAAAAGACCATATACAAAACACTATGTTAATTACTTTACATATAACTCGTTTAATCCTTACAATAGGCCTTGAGGTAGCTATGAACAGCTTTATTTCATAGATGAAGAAAATGAGGCACAAAGAGGCTCAGAAACTGGCTGAGGGCCACACCACACAGCCAGTAAGTAGAAGAGACAGAATTCAATTCTGAGCAGTCTGTCTGCAAAGACTGAGGCCTTAACCACTGCATGTACTGCCTCTTTAAGTGTCTTGAAGTCCAAGTTCACACAAGTAAATAGCAGGTGTTCAATAAGTGGTACCTTCTAACCCTTTCTTCCAAAATGCTTACTACACTGCCACACACGTTCACCAAACTAATCTGCTCAACTGAAATAAATTACCTTCTCTCCTACAAGCCAAACCTGGCTAGCCATCCTTGCTTCGGATAATTTTCAGAAGGCAGCTATGCTCACTACTCATGACCACTGCTCCAGGCAAATCGCAGAAACATCTTTCCCCACTTCTGCCTCACCTCAAACTGAGTAGCATAAGGAGTTTCACTGAGATGCCTTTCTCCAAGGAAGGGTTAACTTCACTGACTCCAGACAGTAGTGGCTTCGAGCCTAGAAAGAACGGATGACATACTAGAAAGAACAGGAAGCGCAAGATGGAGGACAGGAGTTCCAGCAGGATGTAAGTGCCACGAGGTATGGACTTCGTGTCCCGTTTACTGCTATACTTAGTAGAGCGCCTCACTCCGAGCGCGCTATCCTGACGAAACAGTGATAACGAGGCGCGTGAAGGACGAGCACACATAGTCCAGCGACGGTTCTCGTGATGCCCGTGATCTAATGCAGGACTTCGCAGTAAACACGAATTTACGCCAAGTGTTTAGAATGCTGTTTGGCACAGGAAGCACTCACTAAATGTTTGCTCCTATTGCTTTTATTATTATTATTTTTAAACATCCCTAATAAACTTTGGGAAGGAAGTTTAATTAATGGCATAAAGTATAATTCTGACTTTTATGCTTTTATACTAAAGTCTTACAAAGTTATATCTCCAGATTCTAGAACAATTTTTTCATTTACGAGCTTTTTGGGGACTTTTTCCTATATATATGGCAATGCACTTGGAATCCCAAGTTATGTTACTTAGGAGGTGGAAAGACATCAGGGCTCTAGTGTTTTAATTTACAAAACGTTACAATGAAATGTTTTGTCATTTATATAATAAGTGTTAACTAAAACATCCCTTGGGCCTTAGGACCAACTCTACTTTCAAAAAGATGAACAAAGTGATACTTCAGAAAGTAAAATAAAGGTTTGGTATACTGGTTTGCACTGTAGCACATCAGCATTGAGAAGGAGAATTTCCACTGAACTGTTTTAAAAATAAAGGCCTGTTCCCATGTTTGTAAAATCTGCTTTTCAGTTTGTCCAGCTCTATCTCATACTGATTTAATTTTAACACAAAGACATTCTGGTATTTCGAAGTAATGTAGAATCATAAATTAACTACAGATTGAAACATCAACGGGCATTGAACAGAAATCTTTTCAAACAAAATACGTCATAAAATTCCAATCAAGAGAGTCAACCAACTTGGTTCGACCAAAATTTAGTTTTAACTTTATTTAAACGTTCTACCTACTCAAGCCTTTGTGAGTACCAAAGCCTTTATGAGTACCTGTACATCACGTGGCGGCTCCCTCTCTGTAACGAGGGCGCTTCTAGCTAACATGATGGGCGAGGAGAGTGGGAGTCGGGGGCCTTCCATTTTCTCACCCAGTAACTTACCTTTTATAATTCTATTTTTCCTTGTGACACACGTAGAAACCTTTATTACATACGCACTAGGCACAATCCAGGACACATTCATGAGCAGTTACCTCCTCTCAAGTGGGAGACAACGATCTGTGGTACCAGCTCCATAATTATGAGTGATGCTTAAGGAAAGCAAAACATCGACCCACGTCTTTCTCCACTGATGGGAATCAACAAAACAATTCTCCAACTGTTCATCAACATTACTTCTATCTGTGACCACTTACCAAAGAATTAAAACATATCGAAGGTTTACGGCTCATTCTTACTGCCTTCCCCAAGGCAGTGAAATGTAGGGAACTCAATCTAAAATAGGGGTTGGCAAACTTTTTCTATAAAGGGCCAGATAATAAATATGTTAGGCTTTGTGGGCCATGACACAGAACTGGAGATATTACATAGGTACTTATATAAGAAGAGAAAAAACAAAATTTTAAAGATGAAATTCAAACAATAATAATAAATTTTTTGGAAAACAGGTCTAATAATGAGAATAGATTTTTAATTTGGGATAACACTTGGCTTAAGTGTCTAGTATTTTTATAATAGTATGAAATGTTACAGAGAAGACAAGCAAGGCAGGACTAAAAAGTAACTCTTGTAGTTAGCGAGTGTAAAGACTTGAATTGTGTCCCCCCTCCCCAAATATTCGTATGTGGAAGTCTTGACCCGCCATACCTCTGAAAGTGACCCTATCTGGAAACAGGGTCAATGCAGATATAGCTAATTAAGATGCAGTCACACTGGACTAAGGTGGGCTCCTGATTCAATGTGACTGCCATCCTTACAAAAAGAGGAAATTGGGACACAGCCATACACAGGACGATTGCCATGTGAACGTAAAGGAAGAAATCAGCATGATCAAAAGCCAAGGAATACCAAAAATTGCCAGCAAACCACCAGAAACTAGAGAGTGGCTTGGAACAGATCCTTCCCTAGTGCCCTCAGAGGGGGCATGGTCCTGCCAACACCTCGATCTTGGACTTCTAGCCTCTAGAACTGTGAGAGGATAATTTTCTTTTGTTTAAGCCACCAGTCTGTGATACTCTGTCACAGCAGCCGTAGCAAACCAATGCAACAAGAAAGAGATCTTTTATATCCGCCCTTTGCCCACCTAGTTTAATCTTCCAGTGGATAGAGAACATAGCTATGTTAACAGCATAGTCATCTAATAAGTACCATGAATGATGTCAACACTCAACCGTACATACCTGAAATGCAAGCACTGCATCACAAAACAAACATGAAGAGATCTGAAACACAGATGATTCCCCAGGGCTCTATGAGATTTAGCTACCTGGCTCAAACATCCCTTCATCCTACCGTCAAAAATGTCGTGTTTCAAAAACAATTACCATCGAAAGAAAAGACTTACCTTTAGTTTCTAAACTCTCAAGAGTGGTCATTTTTTAACCAATGAATGCACCCCAAGACTTCTACTGAAAAACCTAAAAATGTATAAAGAGAAAATTAAAACAATATAATATAAACACATTCACTCGGTCCCTGTAATTTAAATATGATATTCTTCCTGCTTCTGTATTCGGTAACATGCATTTAGAAAGGAAGTGTCCCTCATGTCCCTTTAATAACAGGTGATATCTCAAAAAAGAAAAAAAAAATTAGGTGTGGTTTACTTTCAAATTTATTTCACTGTTGTCCTCACCAGTATACTCTAAATTATGGGATATATGTCCTGAATTTTAGTTCAGAAATAGCACTGAAGCGACTGCAGGAGCTTTTGTATCACTGCTATGAAAACAGAAATTTTAAAGTAATTAGAGTAATTACTTTCTCAGGAAACATTATTGACATTAATTTATTCACTACGTATGTCAGAGAGGAGCTTCTGTTTAGATGTTTAGCAAGCAACAAAATATTCATAACTCAATTTTTCACTTTCTTGGTAATAAAATTAAAACGCCATAGCATACGCTTTCAGAAATGTACACATGATCTTACAGTGTAGACCAAGACTCACTGGAGAACACGAGAAGAAAGGTGCCGCTAATGCCGTATTAATATAGTATGAGCTGTACCCTATAGAGACAACTGGTTCCACCACAAAAATGATCGCTCTGAGTACTCGCTATAACTCGGCACAGGGTCTTCCATGACTATCCTCCTCACCAGGCACAAACCCTCCTTCTGCTGCTCTGAAAACAGGTCTCCAAAGTCCCTTCGAATGAGCAACGAGCCCTGAAACCGCGCTGGGAAGATGCACGGCGAAACCGACAAGCACACGCGTGTCTGCCGGCAAACACCGAGAAGCGGGTGGCGGTGGGTGCGCAGGTGGAAACGGGCGTGCAGGCGGCAGGTGTGGGAGCGACACCTTCTGCCGTCCGGCCGAGTCGTGACCGAAGTTCCGTCCCCGTCTGGGCGACCTTTCCCCAGATCCACGGCGGCCGAACGCCGAGCTCCAACCCAGCCCTCCGCCCCTGCCAGCAGCCGCTTCGCTCCGGCAGCCCGTCGTGGGGCTTACCTCTGAGAGTCTCACCCTTCCAGTCCCGGGGGGCTTCCCGTCCCAGGTTCTCCGGCCCGGTATCACTGGCACAGCCTCTTCCGTTCGGAGCCCACCCGCCCAGGCCTTCCCCGCATCAATGTCTAGCTCACTACTAACCACTTCCGGTTCTTACTCAGGGTTTCGTTTCCAGAATACGTTCCCCAGAGAAAAAGGTAAACGCACTCCGTGGTGCGTTTAAACTCAAGTAACGCAGACCGTACGGTGTGAGGCTTTAGTGAGCGAGAACTGGATAGATACTTGTTTAAAAATAAACTATAATATTCGGATACGGCCGCATAGCGGCTTGAACTTCCGGGTCATCTGTCAACCAAACGGAAGTGACGACACTGGAAAGAAGTAATCGATGTCCCGTCGCCCCGGGCATGGCATGAAGGGGCGGGCCTGCCGGCTGGGTGGGCGGAGCTTCTATTACTCCCAGCCACTAGGGATGAGGGGGCGGGGCCGTGGCGTCCCACGCAGCGTCCGGCCGTAGGCGGGGCTCTGTTGCCGGAGTAACCGGGCGTTGGTGTTGGTGCTGGCATCTGTCGTCGTGTCCCGGCGTCACCTATTTCCTTGTGCTGAGCTCCTGAGACTATGGTGAGTGCTAGGCAAGGCCAGAGGAACAGCTTCGGGGTTTTGATTACGCAGCGTCCGGGTCCAGCTCCTGGGGCGTGTGGACACTCGAGGCTTCCCCGTCTCTTCCACTTGAGCCCCATTGTCTTTTTTTTCGGGGAGCTGTCCCTGCGATTTCCTCGCAGCACCCTGAATTCCACTCTGGCACTGCTGAGCCTGTAGAGTAATGTAAGGGAAAGCTTAGGGGTACCTTTAAAGCTTTTGCTATGTCATTTTTCATTCATTGAGTTTCCGGGTTCCTTTAACTTGCGAATATATATAAATACAAAGTTATGTATACTAATATCAACATCGATTCCTTAAATTTTCCAGAGGGCATTGCAAACAGGATAGGGATCTACGTCACAGTGGCTTATTGTTCAGGGTAAAGCCTCGTGCTTAGCAAAAGCTTTTTTCCCGCTTTCTTGTAAACGTTTTTGCTTGTTGATCCAGATGCCCCTTTCGGTGTGCCGTGAATGGGCGCAAAATCTACACATTTGGTGACTTTTTGGAAGTACGTGATGTATTCTTATTAGTAGAATTTTTAAGCGAATTCCTTTTGGTTTAACCTTTTCAGACGTATATTTTTAAAAGTGTACGTCTTTTTGTTCCCCCAGATGTACGTGCCCTTCAGCCACACTTCTCCATTTGCCCTAAAAGCTCCTGCACTTCCTTCTTTGTTCAGATGACACCTCGTAGGAGAGGACCCCCTGTCCACCCCGGCTAAAGTAGCATCTCCAGTTACTCTTGTCCCCCTCACCCTTCTGCACCTTCTTTTCTTCACTTTAGCACCCGACAAATGCATCGCACAGCTGCAATTTTAATAGTGGCTGATAGCTACATAATGTTTTCCCTTTTTTAAATGCATTTAAGGTTTTCAACTAACTCCCAGTGCCCCTCAGACGTAGGTATTGCGTGCATGCTTGGAGAAGGAAGAGAGGCACAAATATTGAGGCAAGACGAGTGATGCTCTGAAAACATAGTTGAAAAGAAGCATACTTTCCACTGACGTTCCCCTAGTCACTTGGTAGAGCCCCGGTGTGGGGAACTATTTTTGATCAAGGGCTCTTCATCACCAGAGATAATCTAGAATTCTAAGTCAAAAACAGTGGACTCTTCTATTCTGAGAGAGAGCTCTAGATTCATTCATTCATTGGACAATATTTTTAAGTCCCTATTCCATGTGGGGCGCTGTTCTAGGCACCCAGATATAGTAATGAATGACAAAGTCCAGCTCATATGGAGCTAACCTTTCTAGGGATAGGGAGTCACACAATAAACAAATAAACATAATGTAATGTTAGATGTTGGTGTTAGGAAAAAATTATGAGAGAAGAGAGTGAAGAGTGTGTGTGTGTGTGTGTGTGTGTGTGTGTGTGTGTGTGTGTTGGGGTGGGGAGGGGTTGGCCTTTAGCTGGACGATCAAGGAAGTGTCTCCAGATCAGTGACACTGGAACAGAGACGTGAATGAAGCGAGGCCTGGTCATTCTAGCAGTAGAGAGGTCCAGGTATTGGGGGCAGGGACAGCAACTGCAAGGATTCTGAGGTGGGAGCTTGCTTGGTTTGTCCAGCCACCAATGAGAAAGCCAGAATAAGGGTGAAGGAGAGAGGCAGACATGTGGTCCAGAGGTAGCCTCGGGCCAGATCACAGAGGCCCCATGCGGTATGAAATCATGAAGCCTTAGAAGTAGAAGGGACTTTGGAGTTTTGTAATACTGGTGTTTCTGGAGCTGAGGCTGTGATCATTGGTAGATATTGAACTCTAAATTATGAACAGCAGCTAGCCTTTAAAAAACAGTATAAAATATTAGTACATTGTACATACTGAAGATCAGAATTGTTTCATGGGACTTTTTTTCAGTTGTGTGTGTTAATTCTAATGGAAATCGCAGTTCTTACTATAGGTTCTGGTAAAGAAAAAAAAAAGAGAGAATGTTTGTGAGCCCCCGACCTAGTCTTATCCCCAAATTTTATAGATGAGACTAAGTTGGGAAGTACTCCTGTCTTCTGGTCAGCGTGCTGCCTTTGCTCCCATACTGTGCTCCCTCCTGTCTGGCGCAGCACCTGTTTTTGGGAGGGAGAGAGGAAGAGGGAGAGTGAAAGAGGGAGAGAGAGAAAGAAGAAAGGAGGAAGGTAGGTGGACGGAGAGAGAGAAGGAAGAAAGGAGGAAGGTAGGTGGACGGAGAGAGAGAAGTAAGGAAGGAGGAAGGTAGGTGGAGGGAGAGAGAGAGCCCGAATTTGGTAGAGAAAAGAGAAACACCCAAGGCTGAGAGAGAAGCGGTGACATCTCTGCCTTGCCTGTCCCTCTTTCTGTCTCTGCCATCCCCTCCGAGGCCCTAGTCTCCTGGGAAGGCAGTGCTGGTGGAGAACAGGGTCCATCCACTTTCGAAGACACCATAGGGTGTTTACCTCTAACCCACTCCCTGGTTCTCCCCGTGAGGACTCAGCCATGTGCTGAGGACAGTGGACTCCAGGAGGGCCCGGCTGATTTCTTGTGTTCCTTTGTGTTCCCGGGCCTGGCCACTGGAGGCCCTCAGTAATGATTTGCTTAAAAAAATAATGCACTGAACTGTCAAGAGACTGTTCCTATGTGTTACAGCGAAATTCTTATACAATGAATCCGTAATCTTAAAACAAAATTAGGCTCCAAAGAGAATTTTGGAGAATTTTCAAGGATTAAAAAAAGATTCTCACACACGCGCACACACACACACACACACACACACACACACACAAACTAAACCATTTTTTAATATCATGAGGAACATATTCTTTTAATAGTTTAACAGGATTTTTAAAATCATTGTTTTTAATTCTTTAAAACCTTGTTGTGTCATTTACTAGATGTTAGAAAGCCACTAAGTGAAGAGAATTCCCTGAATGTCACTCATCTTCCGTAAGAGTAGCTGTTGGAGCCTGATAATTTCTTCAGTGGCTGAAAAAAAGCTTTAAACTTACTTGAGGCTTGTCGGGGGAGGAATCAAAAAAGAACTCAGCTGAGGTCCTTTTTTATGCAAAGGATTAGAGAGAAATGAAATTATTGATGTGTTGCCTTTTCATTAAAACAGTTCTGGAAGCCCTAGTGACTGGATATATTAAAAAGCAAAAGAAACTTAACTTACAAATCAGAGTGGGAAACCTATTTTTCTTCATTGTCAATATTTATCATTTACTAAATGCCTACTATATGTTAAGTTCTTTTTCGTATAAGGAAACCGTCTCAGGTTTTTAAAAACCACTGAGGATTCTGCAGCCAGTAAGTGACAGGGCCCAGCCTTGAATCCGTTTATCCTGGGAACCCATGCTCTTTCTAGTCTACTGCAATTGGGGCCAAGACGTTTAGGTTTTTAAATTATGGGGAGTAAATGTTTTCTGCTTTTCTGTGGCTATACAAAGAGGTGGAGACTGTTTTCTTCCTTTTTGAAAACTGAATTTCTAGAGCACATGAGTGATACCAATTTCCTTCAAAAAATCAATTCCTATTTTGATATTCAATTAGAACTTCTGCAAAATTATAATGATTTAATATATAATTAAGGGGCTTAAATCAAGGAGTGTTTGTGGAATGGCTGAGGCCCGGATATGGTGAAATCCACATTGAACACTAGGTGGCACTGCTCCACCGTTGGACTTATTTCAGGAACCAGGTCCTTAAAGATTTATTAGTTGCTTATGACTTTAATCATATTGATGTGGCATATGAACATTGTTCATCTAGAAAGCACAGAGTGTACGGTATCACAGATTATTTCTCATAAAGTCAAAGACACACACTTTTCTCTTTCATAAATTAGAAACCGGAAGCCAAAACGATGAAAAGATAGATGATCTCCTTTGGGATTCAACTTGAAAATGTTTTTTCAGAATCTGTTATTGCACTAAAAAATATCCCTTATCTTGTTTAAAGGAAACCCAAAACAGTAAGCTACTAAATTAAAATAGCCCGTGAATCACATGGGAGCATAAAGGCGAAAGCGTTCCGAGAGGCAGAAGAGATTACCCAGATCTGTAACTCTCCAGGTGACCTGTCTGATGGTCATCCTTCTAACCCTGCTGACACTGTCCAGGCTTTCGCCATTTTTACAGAGGCACGTTCATGCTTACAGCCCCTCGAATCTGCGTCACTTGACCATGCCACGTAGTATTTTCTCCAAGGCCTGATCCTCAGTGAAACACAGACTCCTTCCTTTTCTCTGCAGTTCGGTACAACATTGTAGCGGTGGTTCGAACCATTGCAGTCAGGTGAGAAACAAAGAGTTAATAGTGTCTCCGTTCGGAAGTGTCACTGTGGGTCGTAGCGGGACCCAGGTACGGTACACGTACTCAGCTGGGATAGTTGAAAAGTTTACTAGAGACTAGTTACAAAGGTGTGGGCAGAGTTAGACAAGCTGACGATGGATGGTTCCGTGCCAGGGGCGGGGCTGGCCACAGCGGTGGCCGGTTCCCGCCCCCGGGGCCTGCCCGCAAACGGAGGGAGGGAGCTGCGGGAGAGCATCCAGGATGGAGGGCGGACTGGCAGGCCCTGCGGGCGTCGGTGGAGGGCAGCGCCTGGCCCCCAGATGCGGTCTGGCAGGGAAGCAGTGAGGAGAAAAAGTTACCTAGATTTCACTCTTCTTCTTTGAATCTTCAGCCCCTGTGCCCCGCTGGCCAGACCCAAGTGCACGTCAAGGGCGAGAGGGTCGGGGCAGGCTGGCTGGCCAGGCTCGGAGCAGGTGGGAGAGCTGCAGAGCGGAGGTCCGCAGGGACCAAGGGAAAATGGCCAGCACGTCCACTTCCGGGCCTGGTGGTGCGGGGGCTGCGGGATGAGGCCTAACGAGGGTTGGCCTGGAGTCCTCGTGACCTTGACAATATCTATTCAGATCAAAAAAACGTAAAGATACCATTCATATTATAATCTTCCACGTTATCAGATGATGTTTAGCCCAATGATACAGTTTTCTGACCTAGTATCAGTGATCAGTGTAAAATTGCCTAAGTATTCTCTT